TACTAAATAAATATATTAACATTAAATATAAATAAATATATTAACAATAAATACAACTAAATATGATTAAAAAATATTTATCCAGAACGTCTTTCAATTCTAATTTTGATGAAATTATACTCAATTGATGTGTTTTTTTATACGAAACGAATGAATCTGACAGAGAAAAATTTGACTCTGCCTCGCGAAGTGAGAGTATTGATATGACAGATTTTGTAACCTCAATAGTGGAAAACTTCTACGGTAAATATCTTGCTTCACTGGGTAGAACCACACTTAAAAAAAAAAATCTGATAAAAAATCAGATTCTTCAAATGAGATTCTTCAAATTCATAAAAATTGAAGTAGCAAGGCTTGTTGAATAAATACCTTCGGTGATGAACTTGCTATTTTACAATTCAAGGCACTTCTTCTTAACCATATATAGAAATGTCGCTACTGAAAGTGTGACGCCACCAACGAGATACTATTAAAGACCGATATCCTTAATGGAAGTTCGCGTCCTTGTGATATTGAAGTAATTAAAAGTTAAAAACTGATAATATTGTATTAATTTTATGGTTTATTAGTTTAGTAGACGTATTTATGCATTTAGAACTCAATAATACTCGATTTTTCTTTAAAATTGTGATTTCAGTGTTATCGTCAAAGTTTGATTATCAAAAGATAATAACTGCAGAGAAAAAATTATAATTTTTCTACAATATATAGGATATTATAGCTTTGCATATTTATTTATGGAATATTTATGTAATGAAAAATCATGAATTCAATAATGTATGAGCCAAATATTTATGTTAATATAATAGCAAATTGATATAAATTGTCAACATTCTTCAATTACCTCCGGACCCTTGGAGTCTTTTTTATACCGCTAAAAATTTGCTCAAGATGATCTTTAATGCATGGTCTATAGTAATAGTAGTTGATGCAGTAATAGTAGTTGATTAAGGAATAGGCGTAGAAATCGACCAATCATAGTTGATTATTTTTCTCACATTCAATTATGATTGATCGATTTCTACGCCTACTCTTTAATCCACTACTGCTACTGCCCATTGTAGACCATGCATAATAGTGGTGCCTTTAACCTTTAGTGAGGGGCTCCGTACAATAACAGAAACAGGGAACAGAGAATAAGAATTTTAACTTATCAGAAATCATGTATTATGGAATAATACAGTTTTTGATAAGTTGAAATTTTTATTCTCTATTCTCTGTTCCCTCTTCCTTTTATTGTGCAGAGCCCCTGACACCAGAGAGAAACCTAAGAGAGGCCATGCCGAACTTTTTCCTGTTACCAGAAATCATCTCTGTACATGTACACTACCGCCAGTACATTCATTTTCAGTGTAGGAACTATGTGACTATATACATTTTCTGACACTATCAATAAAATCGTATCGTCAAAAGTAGATGTGGTTCGTCTTTGTACTAAATCCTCCTTTGTACTAAAAGGATAAAAGCGTGCTATGATCCATAGGAGAGATAATGAAGCAGAAGTTTCTCTATGCTATGATGAAAGTAACAAGTTACGTTCGCACGCAGGAAACTTTTGATTGATTACCGAAATCCATATGTAATAGCCAATCGCTACTTTCAAATGAGTTGCAATTGCGTGAAACTTTTCACTTTTCACGTTTCCGAATAAAGAATAAAGTTATATAATCGCTCTCCAAGTATATACATTTTTTAAGTCTGTTAATTGACTAGAATATAGGAATCCGAAGATTTCAATCTTTTTTCAGTGATTTTTGAAAACGCACTAATCATGCGAACGCTTAAATATTTATTATGAAAATTTTTGTCTTTTTACGGAAATAAAAGAATTCAATTTTTTTCATTTTATGAAGAAAAATATTATATACAGCACAAGGTGTTGATAAATTTAAACATATATTTGGCTCTTTTTTACTTATAATAGTAGTTTTATTATGATAAATATATAAATAAATATATAT